AATACGTTGGGATAATAACACACAGCACCTGATTCCATGGTAAGCTACGCGGCTTGTGTTATGGATACCAGATAGTTGATGCACTACACATATATAAAATACCCATGACTGGAGTACAAAAAATCGTGCTCATCACACAAATGAATGCTCCCAGCAGGACTCGAACCCGGCTTCGCTGGCACAGCAAGTAGGGTCACTACAAACTGAGCCAGACGTGTCGTGGTAATAATGAAAGTATGTATGTATATACGTACTATGAAAGTTTGTAACTTTTTCATGCTAAAACGGCTGTACGAAATTTAATATACAGATAGACTATGATTTGAAGTGGATTTCATAAATGCTACATATTCCGTTAGTCACCTAACCCGTTCACGAGCATAGAACAAACCGACTCATTAGTCACGACTCACGTTCGTAACGGCGAAAGCATCTTCTCGAAGTCCAAATGCAAATTTAGATTTTCTTCGAACAATGCTATTTACAATGACAAAACAAATAACTCGTTGTATTCTGTATGGTAAAAAATGATCTGTAAAGAAAGACGTAGTATGTACATATATATGATAATAAAATCCTTATTCATATTATGATGATATGTTTTTTAGTTTATCGGTTTGTCCGATTTTAAGCAGCTACATTGTACCAGCCATTTTATTTTCTGACTGACTTCTAATGAGGAGGAGCTATTTGGCTGTATTGCTTATGTTCGTTAGTCGATATCTTCGCCAAAAGTTAATCGGTTTAAAAACAAAAGTGCGTTAAAAGCGAAAGAAAAAGTTGGAAAAAGTTGACACATAGTATTATGCAGTCGGAGATATACATACATACATACATGTCAAACACATAAGCCTCCTTTGAGTGGCCACAGTCGGGTAATAAATACCTCTAGAATACTCCCATATAAATTAAAAAAACCTACAATATAAAATACTATTTTAACGTACACTTTACCGTCTACGTTATATGTACATATAATCTATTATAATTAGGTATACGTGATATTACAGTTTTAACTTTGTCTTTAAAATACTTAAACATCTGTTTGTCCTGGTCCAAAACCTGATTTCGTCTTTAAAGATTAACAAGCACGCTGTAAATGGACCATTTTAATTAAAGCTTACATCTTCGAACGAAAGTTAACGAATACCAGTGTTTTTTTTTAACGACATTCCTTACACCTTCACTTGTCACTTGGCTTATAAAGATGGCTTCTCTTAAATAAGTTCGATGGTCTTTTACTGCATTCTTTTAAAGTCGTTGTAAAAAGGCAAATGTACAACATGTTATAATTTAACTAGCTCCTCACCCTCGTTCCGCTCGGGTTCATTCCTAGTTACGTTTTAAGGTTTAGTATAGATTTCAAAGAGATGAGATGTTTTCTCGCAGTAAAAAGTATCCTTTATGTTGAATCGGATAACCAGCTATAATCATGCTAAATTTCATCAAAATACCTCCAGTGGTTTTTTCGTGATGCGGTCACAGACAGACAGACAATTTTTTTTCTAAAAGCTATAGATTCGGCGTCTGTATCGATAATAATAAATATATTTCAATAGGATTTTCCAAAGAATATTTTTAACGTACAGATTCGGCTTAGAATTTATTATATGTTTAGATAGAAATAAATTAAGTTCTTTAAGAAGTGATAGTTTTTTTTTGTAAATATTGTGAGTTTTAAACCCCCGACGCAAACGAGGGTTGTTATAAGTCTTAATGTTTACATCTGTGTGTCTGTCTTTGGCTGTGTGGATGAGTCGATGTTAATCATAAAAAATAAATGTTTTTAATTTTTTGTTTGTTTGTTCGTTTATTAAACCGCGGTTTAATTAAACATAACTAAGTTTAAGTTATTCGGTAGAATAGATCCAAGGATTACTCCATAAGCTTTGCGGAAGTCAGGTTTAGTAGCTTAGTGCAAGCAGTGAGCACTTAATATATATAATACTAGCATTTTTATCTGGCTTCTCCCTTTTCGGGTACTTTTTTTAACGTAATATTCAAAATATACCTACTAAATAATTCGATTTTTTTAAAGTTTTAATTTAATTTTGAAGGGCGGGAGAGGCATTTAAAAATTACGTTCTTAACAATCTTCTATGTAATTAGGTGCATATAACAAATTCCATACAAAAATTCAGCCTCTCAAAACCAGCGGCTTTTCTTGGGTGTACGTACCTCTATAGGTAATATAAATTAATAATAAATAATAATATTTATCAAACTACTGACTGATCATTATTTTAAATGTGCATAAAATAATGATAAGTAGGTAGTATTCGTCAAAACAAGATTGTGACCAATGAATACCTTTCTTTTTTATCTATCGCTTCATCTCACTTGAAATTGAAAGAATGGTGTCATTGAAAATCAAAAGGCAAAAAAAATAAAATTGAACACGTGATATTCAAGATAAAATAATAATAAACGTTTGGTAATTTATACCTATAATAAAATTCTGAGTCGAATCTGTAGGTTCATTAAAAAAAAATCATTATTATCGATACAGAGGCCGAATGTATAGTTTTTAGAATTTTTGTCTGTCTGTCTATCTGTCTGGGAACGCATCTCGAGTAAACTGAACGGATGTTCATAAAATTTGATATGGTGATAGCTGATTTTTTGGGCCAATATTTAGGATACTTTTTATTGTGGGAAAATATCTCATTTCTTATGAATCTATACTAAATGTTAAAACATAACCAAGGACGAAACCGAGCGAAACAAGGGTGATTTGCTAGTATAGCTATACAATGTTGTTTTTTTTATCTTTAAGGAATCGTCTAAATTATTAGTCTAATAAAAATATCTTTTCAAGTGATTTTTTTTTCAATCTTCTTTTCTTATTAATCTTGCGTTATGAAAAAAGAGTGTATTCTAAAAAAAAAACAAAACAAATCTGTGATACGGGAATCGTACATTCCGGATAAAAAGTATCCTATGTGCTATTATAATCTATCCATGTGCCAAATTTCATCTAGATACTAATATATTTGTTCTTTATTTCGTTCATATTCGTCGAGCAGTTACAGCGTTAAGGAGAAACAAACGCTCACTAGCAAACAGTTTTGCAATTATAATTAGTTATCCAACGCATGAGTTACTTTACAGATCAGATTTACAGCTATTTATATTGGTTAATTTATGTAATACTTTGTATTACCGTCCACCAACCCGCACTTGCCCACCAACCCGTACTAGGCCAGCGTGGTGGACTATACTTATCCTGATCCCCCTCGTATTAAAGGGGGGCCTGTGCCCAGCTGTGGGACGTTAAAAAGAGCTGAATACATACCGTCCATAAGAAATGAACACAATAGTGAATAAGTCCTTCTTTTTTTTGCTTATTTCACTTTTTATTTTGTATTCCGCAAACACATCTTCCCAGTGAAAGATGTCTACAGGCGTTTCCATCGCTTCTGGATTTCTTGTTCTTAAATCTAAAAATTTCTTTAAAGTTTCCAACTCTGTACAGTGTTAAGTTATATTTCTTTGTTCCATATTTATACTACAGTTTCGTAATTTCTTTGTAATTTTATTAGTAAGTAGAACTACCCAAACTATGTATTTTGCCAAAATGCTAAGTTTTTAATTTATGGCTTAGTTTGCTATTTGTCTCAGCTTTATGGGGTTTTCTATAATTTACATAGTAAAATTGTTATTTCTCATGGCTTTGCTCGGTTTCGTGAACCCAGGAATATAATATATACATACATATGTACCTATAAGAAAATAATTCATTTATTTGAAAAGACAACTTCTTATATAATTAAATGTTAATGCTTACATAATTCATTAAAACAATATATTTATTAATTTTTCTTAAGATTAATTAATTTTCCGATGTTTTTTATTGGACGTTTTTAGTATGTAATTAGTAGCTGACAGAGTGTAAGAAGTACCTATTATTTTTATTTAATTACTATTTTTTCTATTATAATTATATTATTATAAATTCAAATAACTTATATTATAATACAGGGCAAGATTTTAATTAGTAGGTACTTATATCACTATCTAAAAAAAATTAGTTAGAAAAAAATGTACATATACGAAATTCGTTAATATTTTACCCATCGCTTAAAGACAACACGAATCACATCACTTAATGCATTATGTAACGAAATCGTGCGGTTCTTTACGGTAACTCGCTTGCGTCAATAACACATTGGCTAAAGAAATGTGCAGAGTTTATCCCATTGCTTTATAAACTCGAAGCATATATAAACTGTATAGATTAAAGTATAGAAAACATATAAACGAGAGAAAAACGTGCATGCGCATGCGCATCATGTAAATATGGAGAACTTGTTATTGAATATATTTAATACCACTTTATTACTTATGAAATATCTTAAAAATAATTATAAAATGGAGTTAGGTTTAGTTTTTATATGTAGTTTATTTATTTTTTAATCCCTCCATGACCGCGGACACACCGGTGTTATAGTTAGCAATAGATTTCTTAGAAATTTAATTAATTTCTTAGAAATTTACCTGGAGGTGTTAATTGATACCAACACCACGTACTACTTACTAGAATGTATAGAATACAAGTACAAGCGATTTATCTTCGCTTCGCTCGTGTGTCCCTAGGTTCCTAACAGTAGTCTATGTCACCGTAGCACATAGCTTTCCTACATAGATAGACTATGACTTAGGTCCTTTAGTACATACTAAAATTTCATTTAAATCTGTCCAGCCCACTCAGCGTAAAGGTGTTAAAGACATACAAACACTGGATATATACCGCATATTTATACCGCATTTATAATAGCAATACTCATTGAAGATTAAAATTACATGGACACGTCATATTGAAATAAACATACAAGAGAAATCGAGGTTGATCGCTAGTCATGACAATTATAAACTTAAATAAAACTTGTCCTTTGCCATTATTCATAGTGCAAGCTTTACATTTTACAGACCTATAAATAGACATAATAACTGCTAAGAAATCTTGGGAACAGATAATTATCATTTTTTTTTTATTCCAGTGGAAGTCGCGATGGTGTGTCATGAGGAAATTGTCACCAGTTGCAGGTAAGTTTTAAATATTTATTCTATAACAAAAAATGCAGTTAAGGGCCTAATATTATTAATTAAATGGAGCAAATATTCCATGTACTCATTTACTTTACACTGATATAATATAGCTCTTAAGTTTAAATGATTATTTCTAGCTAGCTAAAGAGTAGATTTTTTTTTGGTCGAACTTGCTTATATCCAAAACTACCTGTAGGATTTGAATTTTTTTACATTTTATAGCCTATAGAAGAGGAAGAGTAGCATATCTAAGGTTTTAAGAGCGAAGCGTTTAAATAATAATTATATTTAAAGCCGAATGAATCATTTAATTCAGTCTATCTATCTATCTACTTTTAAAGTTATGTGGTAGTAATCTGATAATTAAAATAGAATAAAACTTTAATTATAATTGCCTGACCAATAACTATGGACCAATGACGATGGTAACCAATGCCGTCGCATGGGACCCCTGATTCAAAGGGGCCCCAGCGGGTCACGAACAATTCTTTTATTTCAAAATATTTTTTAAGGGCTGCCCTCATAGAATTTAAAAAAAACGCAAGAAGAAAGTGTCCTAAGTTTCATATATTTTTTTACGAGGACCACGAGGAATGTGATCGGTGCGGCAGGGCTCAAGGGGCTCGTTTTAAGGGGGCACTTCCATTTTTTTGAATTGGGGCCCAAAACGGCTAGTTACGACACTACAATCTATGTATGTCTAAAACAAAACATATAAAAAATATATAATGAAGTAGTAACAAATCTTTAGACCCTTTCATCTATATATATAAAAGAAAGTCGTGTTAGTTACTTCGCTTATAACTCAAGAACGGCTGAACCGATTTAGCTGAAAATTGGCAGGGAGGTAGTTTAGAGCCAGGAGAAGGACATAGGATACTTTTTATCCCGTTCGACCGCGTTCCAATTTTTATGATATTTTAATTTTTGGATTTCTCTTAGTCCGGAATAGGTAAGTATTAAAACATATAATTAAAATGTGAGAAAGAAAGATTTTTTCTTTTTATATCTATTTAAAACGTACCTAGCGACGAACCCGAGCGAAGCGAGGGTGAGCCGCTAGTAGTTCTATACATTGTCGGTATCAAGTCATTCGAGATTGATATTACAAGGAAAACTCTATCACTAATATAGAAAACAAACCTTATTGCGTTATAAATAAAGACTATTTCTTACCTACAATCTACCACGTTAATGTTATCCGAAGGGTTCCGTAACTAAGAGATAAGCAACCCCTAAATTTGCCGTAAAATGTGAGACAATGATTTTAGTTGGATTTATAGGATTAGGTATTATTGTTATTCTACCTCAAACAAAGGAAATAAATTAAATGGACCGTCCTTAACTAAAAATGATGTCAAACTAAGTTGTTAATGTCTCTAAGGAAATATGTCAATCTTATATTAAATAAAAAAAATATTTAAAATGTCAAATATTCGCGTAAATCTAAGAAAGTATTAATCTTATGTTATTTTAGATCTTACAATATAAAAACTTAAAACATTCACAAATCTTACAATACTTAATTAGACATTCATATTGTCTAATCTATTGATATATATAAAACAAAGTCGGGTTTGTTACAACACTTTTAACTCGAGAACTGCTTGACCAATTTTCATGGTTTTTGATTTGTTGGATTTGTCTCCGGCTCGAATAGCAGAATAACTATTAAAACATCGAAAAAATTCAAGAAAATAAATCACATGGCTAACGCTGGATAACTATATATTTATATCTATTCAAAACGTACCTAGGGACGAACCCGATCGAATTGAGGGTGAGCCGCTGGTATGGAATAATTATTATTTTTGAATGTAATTCGACAATAGCTGCTGAAAACATCAATTTATCCCATCTAGTATATCAACACATATGTATATACATTATACACATATTCGGTCGTTACAGGAATAGTGATGTTGTGAATAATATATATGATTCGCCACCCAAAGCTCATGGAAATAAATTCGTCTCAAAGCCCCATGTTTAAATGTCGAAAGAAAAATACTTAAATTCATTCTCTGACTAAAAAATACTCATTACACAACACTCTTCTTAAACCACTGAGTTTAGAAGCTTGATTTAGGTTCGATTTTGTTTGTTTATTTCTATTAGTTGTCGCCCAGAGGTCGAAATTCCATAAAACTACTATCATTTTATTATTGATAACAATAAAACTCATCAATAGCTTCTAACCAAAAAAAAAACAGTGGACAAACAAAGGAGCAAAAAGTTTTATCTTCGCTTATTTACTTTATTTGACTACACGTTTGGCACAGTTTGTAGTGACCCTACTTACTGTACCGGAGGTCGCGGGTTCGAGTCCCGGTGGAGGCATTCATTTGTGTGATGAGCACGAATGTTTGTACTCCAGTCGTGGAAGTTAATATTTATAATATGTATGTATTTAAAAGTCATATATGTGTAATGTATTAACTATCTGGTATCCATAACACAAGCTTCGTAGCTTACCATGGAACTAGATGGTGCTGTGTGTTTATGTTCCAACATATTTATTTATTTATATACAGATGTATAGAAATCATGTATATTACAACATATGACTTTAAAATACTATATTAATCTTCCTAGATTATATTTCTAGTTCTTTAGAATTGTATGATGTCACTTACTTCTCAGTATCACCAAGGTGAAGTTGATGTTAACATTGTTACTTTATAGATATGTTTACTCGATTAATAGCTTATTAGAATACTAAATTTTGTCTAAAATGTGCGTTTATTTACTTGATCTTCTATATAATATACAAATAGGCAAAGACTGACCTTTCTTCTGAAAGTTTTGTACCTTTTTTCCTCTGTTTGTCAATTGATTTTGTTTTTTTTTGTTTAGTAGTTATTGGCAAACTTTACTATTATCTCTTTTTTTGTTAAAGACAGGTAAAATGTGTTCTTATATAAAAAAAAAAAATCTCAAATTTTCAATATTATTACTTTTAAGACCATGTTGAGATCCGTTTAGATATATTTACAAAAAGTATATAATAATATATTCTTTATATGTAGATATTGACTATTACATAGCAATATAATGACACAAGGTAGTTGAACTTTAAAAATTTACAATATTAAAAAAACGTACATGGATACTATAAATTGGCATGATGTAATAAAGTTTTCATTCAACAATATGCCATTCACAGATAAGTTAAAAGGAAATAATCAAAAAAACCAGGCTAAGTGACTTCAGAACTGGTTTAAAAGCAAGGAAATTGTTAATTACTCATACATTCGTGATATATCTACTCTTGTGTAATGGAGAAATTTAAATAATTTAAAATTAAAAGGCGCTTCGGGGTATTGAAGTCGCTGATAAAAAATGTTACGTACAAGTTTCTTATTATTGCAAAAAAAATTAAAGTTCAAATTAGAAAACAGTTTATAAAACTAATATTGTATAGAGATTTATGTTAAGTCTATGAATTTTTGGAAGAGATAAACTAATGATAAAACGGATATAAGAATTGCTGATCCAATTTTGATGAGCCTCTCACAAATATAGACAAAATTATATGTACGAGTATGTTTTAACAGTTAGTATGGAATAGATAGACCTATGTATATATGTATATATATAGGTGTGATGAGTTGTTGTGGGTTGTATTATAACGTGTTTTCCCGTAGGAATGAGATGATCTCCCGCGGTAAAAAGTAGCCTATGTCACTCTCCAACCCTCCAACTATCTCCACACAAAAAAACTGTATCCTTGTTCATTTAGCTAAAAACAGCAAGGTGTGAACTTCAAAATAGATATCGCCTTATCTATCTATGACATTAATCATAATTTAACATTTAATAAATTAACATACAACTTTGAATCTTAAACTTTTATTTATATGAATGTGTTAAATTTATATAACAAATACCCGATTACCTTTTACGAATACTCAAAGATTTACCAGATTTGCTGGCTGTGTTGATAACGGGATAACAGTCTTGTATTGTGAGATTTTATCTATTGGCAGAGCTAGGGCCTACTTTTCTTGAGAGTGAAATGTTTTTGCTGATTATATACTATCGGAAGGTAACAAAGGAAATACTTTTTAAGGTTTCTATAGATGTTATTACTTTGCTTTTATTTAAAACTAGCGTCTTACACCCGCTTCGCTCGAATGCGTTCTTAGATACGTTTTTTTTTTTAAGTGGAACCCTAATTCTTTTTCTTAAATAAAAAGTTAGTAGCCTTAGTTACTCCTTATAACATCGGCTATCTGCCAGTGAAAGTCCCGTCAAAATCAGGCTAGCCGTTTCAGAGATTAGCCGGAACAAAAAGACTGACAAACAAAAATTTTAATAAATGTATTTTTCTTATAAATACTGTATATTATTTCATATGCATTTAGTAAAAAGCTGTTGTTTTGATATTACAAACAGACACTTCAATTCTATTTATCTGCATAGAGTAGCTGTTACCAGCAAATGATGAGACTTGATCAAAATATTTGTGATTTGTTTAAAGTTTTAAGGGATATATTATAAACTCTATGTATTCCGAATTTCACTCGAATCCGTTCAGCCATTTCTCAAAAACCACCACACCATATAACTACTCTAAGATTACATTTGTTAGATACATATATTTTCATAATAATTTGGAACAATATCGACGAAAATATATTACTATTTTTTTAAAGTCTAACCTTTAAGCTTATAATTTTATATTGAAAAGCTTATTTATACCTGCATATTAACACATTCACATATTATCTTTGACGTATACGTTTCTTCAATGAATGCAAATGCGTTCTTTCTCACATCCATTACAGTTTCCGCTGAACCTTTCAGTTTTCTAAGGCCATTAGTACCAAGTTGTATTACAACCAGTTTGTATTGTGTATAATGTGTGATAGATGTCTGTCTGAAATAATTGCAAGATACTTAGAATGTTCTTTGTATCTATAATATTTCTAGATTTTATTAAGTCAAAGTTCACTTTGACTTCAAATTCGAAAGCTTTCAATAATTTTGATTTC